CTGCTGCAGACGAGTGCTTTAATTTTCAATAGCTTACGAGTGCAAGTTTTTTTAACATATAGGTAATAATAACATAAAGAAATTAACTACAAAAAAGGGTCAGTGCATCCGCCCTGAGCGGAGGGTGCAGGTTAGAATCCCGTCTGCTGCCTGGGCTGCGTGGAATTTTGTCTAGTAAAATTTTCTTTTGATTTTATTTTAATTTAAACATCTAACATTTAAATGCTCAAAGAATACAAGTATAATTATAATAACATATTTTGAGATCCGTAGCGAAGCAAACATTTGAATGCATGTCATTTTGTGGAGATATGTATAACGATCACGCCGACAAAATGGTGGAATAAAATTATGAAAATTATTTTTTTAGGGTAGCTGGTAACTGTTGTAAACATGTAACCTGGATATGATTTTTTTTTTCATCATCTACCCCATTGTGTGGTACATCGTTGGTTAGGTCCGTTAAAATTACTTCCCACGATTATTTTTCGATTTAGGAATCCGGTTGCGAAATATTACTTAAAAATGCTAATTTTTGTTCAAGTAGAGCAACCCCTCCCCCCGCCTGTAAAAGCTAAACTATTGGCTTGAAAACCCTGGAAAAAATTATAATAATAGTGCTTTTCATGAACTTTTAAGGAAAACTATAACGGTTAAGATAGATTTCTTAGTTTAAGAGTTTAGTTACTAGTTGTTGAACTTTGGTTAAAGAAAATTTCTTACCTATTAAAAAGTCCTTAGAAGAAAACATTAATAGTGACATGGATGATGTTATTGTAGCCAAAAACCTTGCATTACAACAAAAAATTAAAAAAAAAAACTATTTAAAAACCACAATTAAATATCTTTAGATCCAGTAAAGTATATAAGCACTTGAAAAGATCGGCGGTTATACCGCATCATCCCCTTATTGGGGGTTGATCGCTTCAGATGAAGCTTCTAGTCAGTAAGAGTCTGACATAAACTTGCAGCCGGCTGTAGGTATCTATGAGGATTTCACACCCACTTACACACACACCCGATTCCATACCCGAGAGGAAACAAAAAAAATTGGCGGTTATCATACGTATTTAAAATACTAATAATATAGAATAGATATTGATTTTTGAGTTTGAGACGCATTTTGAATTTAATTTAGCTATTTTAGTTGAGATACATAGATTGATATTAATTGGTTTTTCTAATTTCCGATATAGAAAATAAAGACTCCTGAATTCAAATTATATTGTGGTAACTACAGGCAACTACGGAACCCTACACTGCGCGTAGCACGACAAGAACTTTTTTTTTATTATTTCTTTTGCCGGTATTGTGCGTGCTGCTTTACAGCTAATCATATAATTTACTTTAAAATAAACCGTAATGTTTGTGGATTTTAATTAAAATTTGTGTTAATATTGTTTCTTATGAATAAAGGAAGTATAACTTCAACGTACAAATGTTGGTTAAAATTATATCCATTCAATAATTAATAATCATGCAATAATATAGCCACACCAATAAAAAACTCATTGAATACATAAAATATACAACATATCTTACTTTTAATTACAAAATGAGTCTTGCACATGTAGGAGTTTATTTTCTGTTACTGGCGCTTGGACGCCTAATTAGAAACATTCAGAAAAAGCATTCATAGCTCGTTCTTTTTTTGAAATTGGAAAATAACATTTCTTTCTTTGCATTTTCTATTATTTTGGCGGCAATTCAAAATTTAATCTGAATTTTATTTCAAATCTCAAAAATAAAAGATGTGACGCGTCAACTAGACAAATAAATGTTAATTTACATATAGATCATAAGTGGGCGTACTGAAGAATAGCTGATCATTTAATTTGTTCTAATAAGAAAGTTTTTAATGCAATTGATCATTAAAAAACTCATGGAACTGGTGAAAATATTCTTAGAAAAGCTCGGCCAAGAAAAACCTCACGAAGAGAAAATACGCTAATTGTTCGTGTTGCTAAAGACCCAAGTAAAGGCAGAAAATAAAAATGTATGAAATTGATTGAATCAATGCCACATCGTTGCAGTGCTGTTATTGGAAATAAGGGATACGATACTAAATATTAATTATAATTATTGGTAGGCTGTGGATAATACTTAAAAAAATGATTTTTATACTTTTTTGATGTTGTTTCTAATAAGTTGACCATTATTGTTCATACTTTAAAACTGATTGAAATATTTGTCCATAATGTAATATTGAAACTGCACTTGTGTAATAGTATTTATATTGTTTTCTAATAAATGATAAATCGTTGAACATATTGTTGTCCTATTTATTGTTTATTTTCAAAACTAAAAACAATTGCGGTGAAGTATCAAACATAATTTCAAGGACCGTTCGTAGCGTTTCTAATTATATGACCACCACTGTAAGAATTTCTAGTCAATTCTAAAGAATTTAATAAATAAAAATACTTTGAACTCTGAAGTACTTGATTCACAAAATGTTTCAGATTTTTGTAAAAACTCGGTAGTTAGTCATTTCAGTTTTATTTCATGACCAGCCGGTGCCAGAGTAATTGATTTCCCATACAAACATTCCCATATTTCAGCACCTTTTAAATTTTAGTTTTGCGAGAAAAGATTGCCTATAACCGTCTTCCGGGTTCTATCTATCTCTATGTCAAAATTCATCACAGGACTGAGTTTTGTTTGTTTAACCATGAAAATGTACCAAACAAACTGACGTTCGTATTTATAAGATTTTAAGTAGATATTATTTTTACATGACACGCAAAACAAGACGCCATGACCAATAATGCTTTGATTATTATTTAAAGATTAATTACTTTTCTTACACTTTTTTTCAATAAGTCGTTTGCTCTGGTAAGCCCAGGCAAATAATAACTACCTAATCGAGGTGAGGTAAAGATATTATTTATAGCTATTGCTTACTTAATAGAATTAAAGTAATATTTATTTTTTACCATATGAGCAAGTGCTTCAATTCTACTTCAAAGTAAAAAAAATGCTCTTCAAAAGCAATACCTAGCTATAGTGGAACCCTAAAAAAGTCATTTTGTAATAAGATCAATGAACTGACTGAACTGTGATATTAAAACTTGGTAAGTAGTCTGGGTTGAATTTGTTCCCTAATTCAAATATCCGTAAAAGAAACTTAAGTATACCTCAATAACAAGCTGGTAAAACAGTAAAATCCAGTCCGGACAGGCTATAACTATAAACCAACGAAGATCAAGAGAAGGAATCTCCGACTTTACATGTAAGTATTATATGGCCAGACAAGTTCAACGGACCTGACTTTATGCCATGCAGTTGCATGAAGACTAGTATCTTGATCCTTTTAATTTGGTTACTTATTTCATTCTTTACAGCATTTAATATGATTAACTATGTAACCTAAATTAAATTGTAAGATTGTCGCATTTTATTACTTGTTCAACGTGCTGGTAACCAACAGACCTCTGTCCACTACATTAATAAGATGATATTAAAGAATGAATTTGTTTTCATCATTGTCAGAGTAGGGCCCCCAAGTTCAGGTTTTTGGATTTACTCGAACCAGTGTACCAGAAAGCCAAAAAAATGTGGCAATAACTGAAATATAATAGTTTTAAAGTTGTGTCCAGTACGGAATTTGACAAATCCGTACCCCAAGCCCGAACTACTGGCGAGGAAGTGTTCGTATTGCCATGTCAAAGTTTCTATAGAAATAGCTAGTTTGCCCTAACGTTCGGTAGTGGCGTATTTTAGACGTCCAAGTTATTTTATATAGTTCGTCTACGCGCCATGACATTTTACTTTTAGCATTTTCGCTCTGTCTGTCCATTTGTTCGCAGATTAACTTAGAGACAAATAGTACTAAAAATCCGTAATTTTCCCCTAATACTCCTTTTAAGTTTGTTCATCGCACTTTGTATTTAATGGCATTCTACAAACGAAACTCTACATTGCGCGTGGCCTGACATGCACTTAGCCAGTTTAATAACTCTTCAACTTTCCTTTCAGAATACAATTAAAGTTGTTTGAGTTAAAGTTCTTCAACTTTCCTCTCACAACAGAGTTAGGACAACAACTCTTCAAAAATGTGGACGGTTCACGTTTGACCAAGTTTTCATTATCTTAATTAATGTTACCTCGTATAATTTAAATCATTTACTATCCATTTATTACTGACTTTTCTTTCGTTTTCAACTCTAACTTACAGCAGTTTCAGTAACAGCTTACCATAGTCTTATTATTCACTTGATATTTCTGAAATTAAACTGGTTCCATTCGTGGTCGCGAGTTGCTTTTTTAACTCCCGAAGAAGCCTGTTTAGAGTTAATATGTTTTAGTTTTAATAGCATAACCAAAGTGCTCTTCCAACTCACTACTAGATTAGCCAAACCCACCCATCAACATGATATATTATTTGCTAAAGTACTAAAGAAAATTAAATACATGAGCGCTGTTACAAATACAGTGAATTCAGTGTTTCATTGTCCTGAAAAAAGATTTACCTTGCAAAGTGCATGACTGGTACTTTACTCATGAAGGTGCTACAGAAAATTATTAGGCAGCTTATACTTATCCCTACTAAAGTAGGTAAATGGTTATTTCGATCCCTGGAGAGAAACGCACTTATATACTACATATTATACTAGTGGTAGATCCATATTAAAGCTTGATTTACCATCTTAATACGTAGCAGTCTCTAACACTAAACGTGTATAACAATATCATCACAATAGTAGGAAAATAATCGTACTACAAATACGTAATCTGACCTATTAGGATAGCAAATGTAGGTAATCCTTATTACGTGAAAAAATTGAGAAGTCATGGACCCGGGCGCAAAGGTCAAGGTCATGACACCAATAACTGTGCACTGTAAAATAGAACCATTCAAATAAATTTTCAGGAATTCATAACTCAGGCAAGCTTTGTATTTGTTAATGTGATTAAACAACAGACTCAAAGTCGAGTAGGTACATGCGTAAATAAATTTATTTAGTCGTATATTTTACTATTAACTATTATGAACAGACCTTTAAACAGCGACGTCTGCCCAAATCCACTAACTAGTTCGATGTTAAACACATCACCAACACTTCACCGATACGCGTCGAACTATCGTGTCCCGATAAATCGAACGAAAGCGAAAGTATGTGGCGATGTTTCGTGCGGTGTAGCGTGGACGACCGGCACTCCGGCAACCTACAACTGCCGGTAAGGACGCGGGAAGGTCGCCCATGCGCGCGCATGCGTCGTCGGCCGCTCTCGTCGTCACATGAACATCGGCATTGCCAACCTGCCGGCCTCTGGCAAACTTTCGGACACTATTCAAACTATAACACGCATGACTAGCCCTCGTACTACTCTATTGAAACTTTATCACGCGCAACTGGTCATCGAAACTCGTCTATCAAACAGATGCTCCGTAGAATACCTAGTATCCAGTACGAATAGTATTCTGTACATTCAGGTAACTGACAAAATTATCTTAGCATCTCACAATCAATCAAAAACATGTCAAGTACAAGGCCGACTTACACCAAGGGTTCCGTGCTAACGTACAAGGTTAATATTATTTAATTCAAACGACAAATTACTCTGGAACGGGACAGTTAGGATCTACACAGAATGCTCCAAAACCAACAGTGGTACTAAAGCCTTGGTGTCTTCCAAGGTGTCTTCTCGAACGACCTAGAAAAATATCTACAACTTTAGACGAACTAAGCACAATTTTCCAGGCAGAATGTATTGGGATTACCAGATCGGACCAGGCGGTTGCAGCCAGTGACATCAGAGAGTTTACCATTAAAATAATCTTTGATAGTGCATCCGTGCTTCAAGCCCTACGTAGTAACACAATAAACTCTGTCCTAGCAATGAAGTGCCACAATGCACTTCAATCCATTGCGGTAACGAATACGGTAACTCTGCAGTGGACAGCAACTCAATTAGAAACGATGGAGCAGACGAACTGGCTAAGAGAGGAGCAGATACTTAAACAGTCCGGAACCCTTGCTGCCCATACCTCATACCCAAATTAAAACGTAGTTGCGTGAAAGAAAACAGATAACTCGACTTGACAGAGTGGAAAACGGGTGAAGGATGCTGGGAAATAAAGAACGCAGTTCTGGTAGCAAACAAGAGACTTGCCCGCACCCTTACCAGACTAAATAGGGACAAATTCCGCAAGATTATAGGAACTCTAACTGCTCACTGTCCCCTTAACAAAAACCTATAGGTAAACAATAGGACTGACAGATAACCCCCCTATGCAGAGGATGCATAGAGGCAGAGGAAACGCCACAGCATGTCATCATGGATTGCAAGAGTGTGGCCGACCAACGGGCACGATTTCTCCAATCGCCAACATCGCTTCCGGAAGCCTGCAGCAGTTTCCCATGGCTGCTTTCTTTCTGAACTAATTCAGGCTGGCTAGAGTGAACAGGAATGTTTCGAGACACGCACAGTGGTCCAATAGTTAGGACTAAATGCGGAAACCGCCCTAATAAAATTAAACAATTCATTATTCGGGGAAAACTTCTTACTATTTGTGAACATAATTATGTAAACTTTCCGTAACGGCTTCTTACTCAATTTTTATCAAACGAAAAATAAAAAAAAAGAAACCTACATGCTACAAAAGAAAAACCTACAATTTTTAACAGCAAAATTTTATATTATCTCGTAGTTATAGAGATTATTTTTGAAGAAAAGTAATTGTTTGCAAACTCGCAAAAAAGCTTTCTTCCCTTCAATTTTTTTTTTCAAAATTGCTTCTTCAGCTGGTCAAACTTATAGGACATCATGTAAATTATAACGTGGTAACGATCATTTTCAATTCGGGTAGTAATAAGGGGTGCTTTGATATTTTTTTTGTCAATTAAAAAATAGGGCCAATTTTATCTGCCCGAAATATTGTTTTTGGAATATTTCACGTTGGAGCTTTCGATTTTGACGTTTGTCGCAGAAGAACCAAGGTTTAACAATCTATCACTCCGTATGGATTCAGTATAGGTAATTAGGTATCTTAAACCCAGTATTTTGTTTGTTTCTACGCTACATTTTACTTCGATTGATTTTCTTCATGAAATACTTATTTAAGAAGTTATTCATGAAAAACCGTCAGAAAGTGTGTTTTTTTAAGTTTACGTATCTTTCGAATCAGTCAAAAAATATTGCCTATCAGTATAAACTTTAAAGAAAAAAAGTTGCTTATTTTAAACCCAGTATTTTGTTTGTTTTCTACGCTACAATTTTACTTCGATTGATTTTATTCATGGAATACTTATTTAAGAAGTTATTCATGAAAAACCGTCAGAAATTGTGTTTTTTTAAGTTTACGTATCTTTCGAATCAGTCGAAAAATATTGCCTAACAGTATAAACTTTAAAGAAAAAAAGTTGCTTAGAATAAATCAGTCTATCCATTTCCATTCTTATTTTTGAATAAAATATTTTTTATCCCCGAAAAAGGGTGGCGTCCACCCTCAGGGTAAAAGCAACCTTTGGCACATTGACAACTTTAAAGAAAATGGTAGGTAGAACCTATAGCCAGATTTTGGTGCTTATCGGTGCTGTTTGGTAGAATTGCTAGGGAAAACCGTGCATTGACTGGACTATCTGTACTTGTATATGATTTAGTAGTACCTGTAAGAGAATGAAAAGGTAGATCACGACAAGAGGGGGGTGCATATTCATTCATAGTTAGCCTAGGGCGACCAGAACTCTAAATCAAGCACGGACAAGATGCCTGTTGTGCCTGCAACCCTACGTTATTTCTTTATATATTTAAAAAAACTGGTCAAGTCCGTATTCGATAAGCGCAATACAAGCCAGCAAAATGCAAGGCGAACATAATTATAGGATCTATGTTGCTACTTGCCAGTCTTAAAGGGTCTTTCCTGTTAAAGAAAGAGAAATCATTATCCCACCTGTAAGCCATTGGCGACTAATAAGAAAAAGACGTGTGCCCAAAGTTTTTTGTAGGACGTCCAATATAGGATAGAAAATGTGTTTAATTAATTTCTTAATAAAATACTTATTTAGTGATCTAGATGTAAAAGAAGACCACTTCGAAACAGTGACGAAGATTGTTGGAAATACTTAGGGTAGATTTAAATTAGGGGCAGTAAAATTTAACAATAAAACTAGTTTATGACAAAAAATATCTCGAGGTGTTCTTTATGGCGTGGCAAAATTTCCCTCCGCCTCCTCCTCCTCCGAAAACAAAACATGTCGTTTTGATGACTACATTTATTTCATTAAAACTTTTTTCATAGCTATATTATTTATACTTATTGTTAAACTTAATATTATCACAGTCTATAAAATAAATTTCTACACTGTGGTATTATAGTAGATCAAAATGGTGGAATTAAAATATAGTAGTGGAATGCACGTAGATAATCGGTTGTTCTAATTTTATACAAGACAACAAATCAACAAACTACACTGTCTGGTGTAAAGTGAAAAACAAATTACCTTTAGTTGCAAAGATAACCGGATACCAGACACCTTCTTTTACTGGTCTGATTGGTTTTCCTCTTTCCCGCAGAACTTGGATAACCCTATTTACTACAGGATCCTAAACTCTCGATCATAAGGAAGAAGTTATTCTGAAATCTAAAGATTTCTAGTATTTTTTTAGATTTAAACATCTATCAGTTAAATGCTTAAAATATTTTTTATTAGCTATTGTATTATAAGGTACCTGATACCAATAAGGCCTATGCTGAAAAAAGGACTATAGTCCAGAAAAGTCTATTAAAATGTGTTTACATCATACGCATATAGGTATAACAATTTTACAACTCGGCAAACTGTGCACGAACGGTCCGCTTGAGCTCATAGCGTCAGTAGTGGCGGTACTTTGTGAAGGACGAGCTTTTTATAGCTCGTTATTAATTTGTTCTAATCTTTAGAAACAAAACTGTAATGTATACGGATCACAATATAACTAATCAAAAAGTTGACTATGACTAAAAATGTAACTTTTTAAAATATACGAATTAAATACTACTTATTACTTTTATGAAGTATAATGTACTAAATAAAGCCCACTTTTATAACAGGCTTCATTTTTATAATATATTATTTTATAAAATATATTCATTTTCGCATATTTATTACTATTTGCGAAAACTTTAATTAAAATTAACATTAATTTGCTAATTTCTGTTTGTATGGATATGTTTTTTTTTATATTATTCTTTATCTCTTGTTAATATGCTACTTTAAATCTGACAAGCAACTTAAGCAAAATATTTAGTAAAATAAATTAGAATGTTGTTCAAGGATCCCGTGGAAACACTTGATTAAAGGCTCAGAAATAAATATTTTAATATAATTAATACTCTAATAACAATATTCCTATAATTTAAGTACATAGGCTTTGTTAAGTCACTATGTTTTTAAAGGGCCTAAGGCTAAGGTTCCAGAATTAGCTCTTTCTAAGTGATTTCTGATAATAGATTGTAATGTTTTCTTAATTACTTAAAAATGAACCAAGCAATAATGCTTTGTATTTATTTATCACCTTCTTCGAATAATTTATCATGTATGAGTGTTTGAAATTAGGTAGGCCTTATTTGTATCACGTACCTTATTTCGCTACGAGAAATATACAACAAATAATTACATCTATTAAATCAAATATTTTAAAAGTAACAGACAAAGGTCAATAAGCTTATATATAATATATTACATTAATATCGTTAATTCAACTCACAATTCTTTATACATTTATTAGGTCATATTAGGTTAGAACAGATTTACTTATAATTGACTACTTGAACACACGAAAAAAAATATTGAATGAGTCTAACATCTGAAACCTTTGAGTTGAGAATGAGGTCAGGGTATTTAATGATACAGTGCCGTAGCGTGGCAGGGGCGGTTCCGTTTTAGTATTTTTAGAAATAGAAAAATATCCCAGTCGCAAAACAAACATTTTAACAAAAAAAACGACTTCATAAAACAAACACAAATGTAAGAAATAATGCATATTCTTTTCTTTTATCTACATTTTAAATCAAAATATTATTTGGAGTCGGTGCCATCTAAACTGATAGATCAAAGTGCCCATTTACTGCTTGGGTTGGTTTCTCGTCCACGGCGGCAGTTTGCCAGCCCAGCAATTTTAAAAATCATCGTCATATTAACAGTACGATGCCCACTGATGAGCTGCGCCTTTCCTTACCCAAAAATCGCCACACCGATCGAGCCTGCGCTATTCGCATCTAGCGGCTTACCAAGATCTTCACTAGATCATCGGTCCTCACCGCATAGACACGGTAATAATATCATACAGTATTCTATCTTCACACAAACGGTCGGAAAGCGAGTCATACCTACGCCACTCGAGTTCGATGGGCTCTCGGCGGGCACCCAGTCGCGAATGTGCCGCCGCGCCGCAACGACGACCGAACGGTGTGAATTGTTTTTTATGCAGTTAGCCTTGCTTAAACGTGCGTTTTGTATTGTAAATATTTGATTTAATTAAGTAGATACCTACATAATTTAGTATGGAAAAGAACAAACGACGATCAATATCGTACAACAGCACAATTGCCGGTTTTGGTTGCTTGAACTCTTCAATAACACACCCAGAGATATCATTTTTTAAATTACCTGAAATATTGGAAAGGTGTCTTACCTTTATAGAATATTTTTTATATACCTATCTACTAGTACGTAATTTGTTTCTAATATTTAGGTATTTCGGTTTTTCCATTGGGCAAAATATCTGGAATAATATATAAATAAATGGTTAGGATGAAAAAAGAGACAAACGAGTAATCTATCTACACTCGCATTAAAAACAAAACTACATAAAATACTGTAGACGGGCGGCCCTACCGCGTGCTAACGCAGCGCTCGGCCGTAGTAGGC